TTTTATATTGATTTAAACCAAGATTTTGTGCCATTTGAGAGCAAATAGTTTGATCCTCAAATGATATTCTAATTATAAATTGGTTATGAGAATAGTTAGTGTAGAGTTCCTCAACAGAAATATTATCTTCCAATATACATTTGCTAATAATATTTTCTAGCATTTTAAGGTGAGTAGTTTTACTGGAAGTAGTATGTGAAAGTGCTAAAGGTTTAGGATTAAAGATTGCTGGAGATGGAAAGCATTCTAATATGAATTTTCCTCCATGACTTCCTTGCACTAATTGATTGAAACACTCTTTATAACTGGTTTCATCAGGGCAAATTACATTAATAATATTATTACAGTATCGATTAACTCTAATGATTACAGAGTCACCGAGTAGGTCTGTAATTTGTTCAACAAATTCGTTAGTAACATCTTTGTAGCAAATTACATTAATTATTTGATTAAGATTGTAATTAGATTTACGTTTGTTAGGTCTAGTATTAGTTGCCATATTTCTTTTCATCTTATTAGTTGTTGATTTTTGTTTTGCTATTGTTTTCTTAATAGATGGCTGAGCTTTAATAGGAGCTAATCTTGTAATATCAGCATAACTGACAGTTCTATTTTTAGGATTACTATCGCATATTTGAACTGTCTCAGTCAAGAAATTTCCACCATTAATTAAATTTCTACTAGTTGGTAGATTTCTAACATTTACTGGATTTCTAGTAATAAATAGATTTTCATTTTCTGATGGTTGGGTATTGATCAGATTATTATTTACAGGTTTGATGGGATTATTATTATTATTATTCAATAACGGGTGACCATTACATATATTTACAAGTTGTTGAAGATAGTCACGGAGATTATTGTTTTCCTTTTGGTAGGTTTCAATTGCTCTCTCTAACACAAAAATCCTGTCAGCAAGCAAATTACTCCCTTCCGTATCCGGAGGATGGTCTTGTTGAGGTATTTTTTTCATCGTCGACAACCATTAAAAAAATGTCAGCACAAGATATCTCATCCGTTCCTCCACTCTTTCAACCATTCAAAATTAGAGGATTGACTTTAAAGAATCGTATTGTCGTCTCCCCAATGTGTCAGTACTCATCGGTTGATGGATTTGCTAATTTCTGGCATGTTCAACATATTGGCAGTAGAATTGTAGGTGGAGCTGGTTTATTTATTGTAGAAGCCACTGGTGTTTCGGATATTGGTAGAATTTCACCAGGATGTTTAGGAATTTACAAAGATGAACATGTTGACATGTTGTCTAAAA